ATATTACTGTGGTACTAGCTCAGCATGACAAATTACAAAAACATGTACGTCCGAATAACTTAAATAGAGAGAAAACTTATTTTAAAAAAATATAATGTAATATATAAATTCAATTGTAATTGTAATGATAAAATGATATATGTACGTGAAACAAACAGATGTTTAATCATTCGAATAAAAGAACATATTAATGATAAAATATAATACTCAAACTTTAACGGAAATATTATGAAAACATCAAAATTTTAAAAGTTAAAAAAGAAAAAAGAATTAATAAAAATTTAGGAGTAAAAATTAATGATGGCTGGTATGATTATATCAATTTAAATAAGATTTGGCGTTGGCTTGGTGACGAAGAGGGTGTATTTCAGTCGTGCAGGTTGTTTGCTGTGGTCGTTCTTCCCCTGGTGATAGATTATAAATATACATCGTTATCTCCCTTACTTTGCTGTCCAATGCAGGGATTGTAGTGTTTGCAGCTGGCCGATTGCATGTAGAGTGCATTTTGAGTCATCGTGTTAACATCGCAGCTTTGCATTGTAATGTTTCAGCCGATCCTTTAAGAGCATCCTTTGTAAGTATTGTGCCCATGCATTGTAATCAGAAGTACCCAATCAGACTTAGGCGTCAGACGGACGTACTAAAGATCCATCCTGCCCTCAGGATCGGACTGGATTGGGAAGTCGGTGAACCGACTGGTACCGGTGTTGAGATATACACCGATGGCTCGAAGGACGGCAGCTTAGTAGGCGCCGCATACTGCGTCTTTTCCGACGGAGTTGAAGTGTACAGCAGAACTGTCAGACTGAACGAGGAGGCGTCCGTGTTCCAGGCGGAACTGGTGGCCCTGGAGGGGGCGTCCCAGTGGATCCTACTACATCCGGGTCCAGAGCCGGTCACGGTTTACTCAGATAGCCAGTCGTCGTTACAGGCTTTAAGCGACGGGTACCATCGTGACCCATTGGTACATGAGATCAGAGGTAGGGTACTGAGGGCGAGGCACGAACGACACGTTGTCCTGCGGTGGGTAAGAGGACACACCGGCATCCTGGGCAACGAACGGGCCGATCAGCTGGCAAAGGCGGGAGCCAGTGGCCCATTTGTTACGAGGACGGTAGATCCCTCGACTACATACATAAAAGGTACCTTACTGCAACGATCAATGATAAGCTGGCGAGAACGCTGGACTCTTAGTACAGTAGGTAGGTCAACCTACGCCTTCGTGCCTGTAGTTGGCCTCACTCCGATAAGTTGTTGCTCGTTGTCGACTCAAATCCTAACTGGCCACGGGAGGTTCCCCCACTTCAAGTCCAAATTTGGACAAGGAGATGGTAGCTGCCCCTGTGGTAGTCCTCGCGGCGACGCGAGGCATTACGTACTTGACTGTCCCCTAACAAGGGACTTCCGCCTAGGGGCAGACCAAGTTGACTGGTCCAAGCCCCCTGAACAAGTACTTCGAACGCTAGCAGCTAGTAAAGGGAACCTAAAGAAACTAAAGGAATTAATGGGAGAAATCATAGATCTTATTGATCTATAGGTTATAGTTGGCTTACTTGGGCCCCCTCCACCTGGAGTCAGGGCCCCGCTGTCCGTATACCTACTACTTGTAGGTTTTGTCTGTGTTTCCTACATTATTGTGTGAGCTATTAAAGGTTTAGTTATGTGGACCAATAGTGCAGTACAGGCTGCACAAACAAAAGTTATGCCAAGTTAGTGAGTTGGGCCGGGGTGCGGACGGGAGTCCGAATGATGCATCATAGGGCCCAACTATGACGTCCCTGTCTACCGAGTCAGGTACCGACCAGTCGATGAACAAGGCATAGTCTCTTTAAACCCTGTAGTGCCAATAGGCGGGGCAGGGTAAAGAGTTCCTTATGAGACCATGGATTTATAGACTTAGTACGTAAAATATTGTTAATAACGGATTATGTTTAATTATGTGCAGAATTCTCTATGGCCTATTTGGTGATTGAACAAGAAGCCATACCACACTTGTATCATGATATCCAGTTTTTAAACTTTTGATTGTAATGTCGTTGTCTTCATTACGGCCTACTAACGAAACTTTTATGTATACTATTTATGGATTTAATTATAACACAAACTGATGAGGGACTACCAAAGATCCGAAATGCATATTGGGTGTAATTTTAATATATTATACATATCGGTATTTGTTTTAATCTTGGTAAAATTTTCTCTTTGTACCTTAATTGTATATTGAATCTAATAAATTTGTATTCGTGCTGACTGGTGTGATAAGCCCTAAATATAAATAGGCTGTTTGTAACTTAATGTAATACGTTTAATAAGTATAAGGACAAAAAGAAAAAAATATATATCTTTACGATTAATTTATTATTTTAAATTTTCCTTTGTTTTCCGAAAAGACATAATGACTACTACATAAACAAACAATTTATTAGCCACCAAACCATAGAATTTTACTTAATTCCTTTGGATGATTTGATTAATGAGTTGGTTTCAGAAATCAATATGGTTCATAATCACTGATTGGACTACAATTTCAAGAAATTGCATACATATAAATTCTAATTGTCTGTCCGTCCGCCTGTCTTTCTCGAGAATAGATCTTGAGAACGGAGTTGGATAGATGAAAGTCGAAACCAAATATAGAAATCTTAGAGGAAGGAGGCCCCGATTAACTATATACAAACTTCTGGTCTAGACCGGAAGGTATATGATTTCAATTCAAAAATTTTCTCCAGAACAGAGTTAGATAGATGACGCATGACTACTGTTATCAAGAAAAGTATGTTATATAAGGGCAAGACCCAGTAACATCGATAACATATATTTTTAATTAAACGAGCAATTATTTATTGTAACATCATGATGCTTATCTGCAATTTTAATGATATTTTAAATTTATTTAATTTAAAATATAGTAGACCCTCTATAACGCGGGTTCGTGTAATGCGGATTCGTATATCGCTGCGAAAAAATTGCGACCGTATTCGTATAAGGACACTAAAAGAGACTCGTAAAATGCGGTAAAACGTCATCGCCGACTCGTGTCGCGACAGGATTGGTTGAATCTGGACCAATAGTGGAAGAGCAGCCGAACTACTTACACGCTACGGAGAGTTTAGGCGGGTAAGTTGAGTTTACTATCGTCTGTACAGTATATAGGCCTAAATTAGGTACTGTAAGTCTAATACAGTACTGTAATTTTATACATTTCTTGTGAAAAAACATTTCTTATTCAACGGTCATAAAAATTATTTCTATTAATGATGTCTCCAAAGTTCAACGAATTTTTCGCAGAAAAATAACTTATCAGAAAACGCGGCCGCCGTTTGGTGCGCTGCTCCGCGACGAAAACAAGCTTAAGCAATGGCGTCGTCGAACGGTGCACACTCGGTAAGTAATCCTACAATTTTTTGTTTATAGCATAGTTTATACGGATTATTCCCAAAAAATTATACGTGTTTTGGAAATGTTGAGTCAAATTAGTCTAGAATCGATTAATTTTATGGAAGAAAACCTTTCAAACAGCCGTAGTCCGTAAACTTCACACGTGTCGGGCTGTGATTGGCTCATGTATTTAAGGATTCCTACAACGCGAAATTCTTATAAAGCGGAACGTATCTACTGCGTTATAGTGGGGGTCGACTGTATATGCTCTTAGTTTTAGTAGTGCGTTGCCTCTGTACATTTTACTTTTCCTGTTAACAATAGAGTCATACTGGTCATCTAACTACCTGTTCTGGAGAAAATTTTTGATTTGAAATAACCTGACTTCCAGTGCAATGTTTGTTTATGGTTAATCGGGGCCTTCTATCCCTAAGCTTTCCACGTCTGGTCTCGACGTTCGTCTATCTAACTCCGTTCTCGAGAAAAAGGAAGAACACACAAACAGACAGACGGACACCAGAGGGAATTTATAGGTCTGCAATTTGAAAATTGCAGCCCAATAAATTAAAAATATGATTAAAATTGCAGACAGGCATTGTGACGATGTCACAATAAATAGTTTCTCGTTCTTTTTAATTTTCTGGAAACGTTCACATAAATTATCCGCTATTTATTCTGTTTATTTTTTACTCTAGCCATAGATTGGACAATTACAAATTTGGTTCGTTCAATTCCGTTATTAAGTCTAATCCAATAAACGATAGTACATAACCTGCCCAGATTCGAACCAGGGATCGAATCTAGGCAGGCTGAAAAACTTCAGGAATATTTCGCGCGGTATCTGTTTCGGATATCTTGGGCACCGTCCCTCACCGCCCGGCCATTGTGGGTTTGGCCGAACCAACGATGGGCTTGAAAAAGGACCTTTTAATTTCCGTGGGGCGGAGAGTCGAAAAATATATACATGAAACATTATATTATTACAATTTTTACAAAATACATAGACCTTATAAATTTATAGGCTGTGTTTTGGACTTTTTCCGTCCTGTGGGAACCGGGAGAACCCATCAGCACATTATAAGCTCTATAGCCAGCGACAACCTTAACTTCTATTTCCAGCTAGATGGTCGAAGTATTTAAGGAATCAGCCTACTGCTCTGTACAACCTGAGAACAAAACCGAGCGGATCGAAAAATTCCCGGAGTTTTCGATCCGCTCGGTTTTGTTCTCAGGTTGTACAGAGTAGTAGGCTGATTCCTTAAATACTTCGACCATCTAGCTGGAAATAGAAGTTAAGGTTGTCGCTGGCTATAGAACTTATAATGTGCTGATGCCTAGTACCACTACATAATTAATTAATGAAATAATTTGTATAAAAATTTCTCAACTCAGTTTTAATATTGTTTATGGTAGCGTTGAAATCGATTTATGTAGTTATTTCTTTCTACGGAAATTACTTCAGTCCAATTAATATTTTCAAAATATTCAAAAATTGAACGTTGTGGGCAATAAATCGTACTTTTTAATACAATAATATGATCATTAATACATTATAAATATAATTTAATATCGAATATTTAACGATAGTTTCACGTTTTCATATAAGTAAATTGAGAATTTACCTCGTCCATATGACTACATGCATATTCTGCTACGCATGGTTTACAAAACTCTTCCATCTCCTTTATTGTGTTTTCTTTATAAAAATGAAAAATACACAAATAGTTAAAATTATAAATGCGAAGATATAACTAAAAATAAATCGATTTATATAAAAAATGTAATTATAGAAGTAATATAATCCAAACAAAAAACATCTGAGATGTAAAAAAATTTCGCCAATTAAAAACTTATGACAATTTATACGACGATCAAAACTTTTCTTGGGAGTTTTTCTTTGATAAAGATAAGCTCGGTGCTTTGAAGCGAAATTAGAAAAGAATAATACAGGTACCGCTTTCAACCGTCAAGCTTATTTTTACCAAAGAAAAACTCCTAAGAAAAATTTTGACCATCGTCTAAATTCTTATAAATGTACACGTGGCGCAATTTTTTTTACATCTGAGATTTTTCACATCTCATTTTTGTTTGAATATGAATTGTTTTTTGTTTAATAATTGTATTATTACATCAAGATATAAGACGATGTTGTACAATTCGGTCGGCCAACGCGCCGCCAATCGAACGCATGTTACTCCGAGTAACATTTTGAATAAAATTAATTTGTTTCGATGCAATTTTATCCCTATAAGCATAAAATTAACCTTGAAATAACCTCCATAAAACTGAAATAGTTTTATGGGAAACCCCGTGAACTTTGACCTGTCTGCCTGAAAGTTTTGCAAGCATCTTACTAATAACGAGAAAGGCTTAACTTTAAAATTTAAGCTTTCTTGACCCTGTAGTTTTTTACGAGCATCTGTAATGCCGGATGAATAAAAAGAAATAGAGGTTTTTTGACAATTTTTGCACTTTTCAATTACTTATATTTCGGCAACTTTTTTAGAAAATCTTGAAATTTTGCACACTACTAAGAAAACAATTCCCTTTCGAACGAGATATTCGGAATTACTTTAGACGTTTGGGGGGGCGGAGAAATCGATCTCCGAAAATCGGAAATTTGATTTCTGTATATATGATCAGTCAGTGACTTTTTTACTTGACTGGGAACTACTGCCGTGACTCTTGATTGATAATATATTTTTATAAACTGAAAAATTACAAAAATTATCAAGTAGACAACACTTTAAAAAAGTATCGTAGACTCCACCGTAAAACTGTTATTTTCTGATGATGTGGGAAATTCTCAAGTAGGCAATACTTTTGTACTTAACTCAAGACAGAATTAAGTATTGTCTACTTAACGTAAGTAGACAATACTTTACTCGAGAATTTCACACACCATCAGGAAATAACAGTTTTACAGTGGAGTCTACCTTTCTTTGGAGGCTTCTTGTCCGCCTCAATATATTAAAATATTCCCAATGGCAATGTTACAATCAATTAAAAAAAAAGCGGGAAGTTTATAAAGAAAGGTTGACTCCGCCGTGAAACTTATTTCTCAGTGGTGTATGAAAGAGACGAAGTGAGAAGGCACTATTTTAAAGTTTTGTCTATTTGAGAATTTTTGTAATTTTTCAAAGTTTATATTTATTGTCCCGGCCATTTTATCAAATACTGTAATACTTTTTACTTAAAATGCTTAATTACAATAGAGTCTCTCTTAACCGGCCTAAACCAGAACGAATATACCGGATAGCGAAAATTTCATATACCATGTACAGTAGAATTTGGTTAAAAACTTACTGCATTAAAAGTTTTCCTGTGTAAAAAATTTAATATCAAAAGTCCCAATTTTTCCCGTGAGTGATATGTAAATTTTCCTTTACAAAATGTTTCCATTTTAAAAAATTTTTCGTTTAGGCTAAGTAGATAGAAATCCTTGTCCAGATAGAGAAATAGATCATCTTACAATGCAGCTAAAAAACTTTCTAACAAAAATTTTATTAATTTAATTACATACGGAAAAATTTTAATTAGGAAATGAAGAATATTTCGCGTGTCACTGAAAGGTATTATTGGAAGAAGAATTAAAAAGTATTATCGGATATTACCGCTACGTCGACGATTGCCTGATATTATACGATAATAACAGTGGTGTACTCACAGTGTTGGCCAAGGACACCCCAAGCAAAAGGAATCCATATTTATTTAAGAATAATTAATATAATACTGTATTAATAATCAGAAAAATAGAAACAATTAATTAAAGAAAATGATGTAAAATTAGGTTTACTAAAATAAATTACGAAATTATGTAAATATAAAATAAATGAAGAAAGGCCTATGCGTGCTTAAAATTATTGAAATAAGTCTAGACATTATCGGATTTGATAATTTTGCGTCCCTACTTTGTAGAAGCCATCATCAATCGATTCCAGAACTAATCCTATGATATTTTTAGCGTCCCTTTTGATTAGTCAAAGCGTGATACTGGTACAGTTACAGAATTACCCGCATCGATTTTTGGAGATTTCTTATCAGAAATTGGTGTCATTTTTTCTGCTTGTTTTTGTAATGCCAAATAATATTATTTTATTGACATTGCTTCTAAACACATAAAAGGCATAAAACTGATCTTCAACGAAACGAAATAAAATCAATTAGGCCTAATAATTATGTTTTTACCATGTATAGGATGACTAAAAAAAACCAGGAAATTTTAAAATGTTGTGACAGCCACGGGCGGCAGGTGATATTTAATGACATATTAAACCTTGCTAACAACAACTTACCATTAGCAATCACGGAGCACATCGTGTCCTTGTGGTCAAAGCATATTACAAGAATGAAAGTGTGGAGACCACGCGTAGAGAATTTCTTCGAAATTTTAATATAGACGACATGATTGTGTTCCGTTAGTGCATGCAATGTAAGTCTGTAATTTTAGGAGACAAGTCCGGCTTTGAAATCTGCTATTCGAGTTATTGTCTCAGCGTTTAGCTCGACATCACGCAGTGTCTCTACAGGTGCATCGTTCGAGTGATCAAAGAATACTATAAACTAAAGTTCCATTCGTATAAGTTACAGATGGTCCAGCAACTGTATGTTAAGTAGAGTCATGCAAAATGTCTGAGATTGCACGAATGTCTACGCAAAGAAATTGGTCAGCTACCTAATGTTATCTTCAAGAAATAAATTGTTAGTGTAAAATTAATCAATATTATACTCTGTACTATTAACTGGCATAAATAAATGTTTTTAAAATATTCATTCTCTTTCATTAATCGCCATTTCAATATTTCCTGTTCTTTTGAGTCATAGAAGTATGAATGGAATCTCTTATAGAAAGGACACTTTAGGGGGAATAATGAAAAAGGTTTGAAACTCATAGAATTAACAGTGTTAGAATCTTAAAGGTAGTATTTGCGTAATTATTGTACCTGAAAGAAATTGTGATCTGTAGCTTAACGTTTAGAAATCTTATACATAAAATATTTTTCTACTTTTTCCAAAAATCTTATTTTTTCCTATTATTATAGTTTTGATAAAACAATTCCTCTTCTGTGCTTATTAATTAATAATAAATTATCATACATTGAGTGCACTTAATAAAAACAAATAAATGAATGAAACATACCACATTCACCCTCCTCGTTAGAACTAAACTCCATCAACTTGAAAAGCACGAGGAATGTAAAGAGTTTAATAATGAGAGACATGATAAGAAATTTATCTACAGATATCTTGATATCTTGCAAATAATAAATCTAAAACGGAATTGCCGGAAATTTATACTTTTTCAAATGACTAAACTACCAATCAGACTATTTCAATAGAGTAAATAGTTAATTGTTGAAACGTCATTGGTTAAACTCAAACCAAATACATAAATTTTGTATAATGCATTATGAATAATCATTTTTATTTTAAAATTGAAATTGATATTCCATAAAACCTGTTCGAAACGGAAATCTGCCAATCCGGAAAAAATATTTGGTACATTGCGAGTCCAGTTTACACAGGTTTTCTATATTTAAAAGAAATATAAAAACTAAATATATATTTTTTAAAATTTGATTCCACTTGCAGATTGTGTAGCTAAAAACTCATTAAGAATTTTTGTCATATTAAACAGCTGTATATGCGATAAACTTGAATAAATTCGAAGTAAATTTTATATTAATACTTTCTTTTATATTATAATTAACTACACGCTTCATAACTTGCCAATGATTTAATTATGGAATGTCTAGTAACATCTTAAGTTATCAAGTTTTTAGTAAAACAGAACTTTTCTGTCAGTCAGATAATGCTAATAATTTTCAAGGTTAATGAAATTTATAATAACTTTTACTACGAAAATGTATATGATACAGTTAAAGTGATCAACCGCGATTATGTATAATACCATATTATTATGTATAATCACCAATTATCTTGCCGAGTTTGATAAATTTCGCTAAATTTCTCACTGTTACCGGCGATTATGTGTAATTCCTAAATGAATTTGGAAGCTTGATAGTTATCGCTTAATATAATTTTTTTTAATGCAATTTTTGCATAATTTCCAAAATGTAGTTCATAAATTTGATAAATGTCATGAAATTGCCTACCTTATTTTGTTTTAATAAAGTAGCGCATGGATTTAAACAAATTTTAATAAAATGAATCAAAAATATGCATTTTTTAAAATTAATATTAGATCAACTCAACAAGTGTAAGAAAACTAAGAAAAATCTGTTTCTGCATAATATTACAATAATATGTACAAAATATCAAACAAATTGTTGGGTATAGAGAACTCTAATAATTATTACTACAGTACCTATTCAAACATGGCAAACTATCATGACATTTTGATTTACATAATTTTTCACTTTCCTTATATTTCCATTTGGTTGAATTTCACTTTTCTTTACGAGCATTTTTGGTACTTCTCACATCATGTAATTCATGTTTTTCTTCAACACTATAAGAGGATAATATTTGGTACATTCTGTACTGTAAGAGTTCTGTGCTGTGTGACAAACAATTGTGAAAGACGTTCCTCCTTTGTTTCCAAGTGATAGTACTCATCATTTTCAATGGCTAATATTACTGCCAATATATTCCGTGGATCGCCTCTTTCCCTGTCCACATCTGTTATTTTTAGCTTCCTTATTTTTCCTACTTTGTCTACAGAAAACTTCAGCTCTAATATTGTATTTTCTTCATTTTCTTCGCTCGAGCTTCTAAACCTGCTTTTCCGTTTGCTCGTTTTTTTCAACGTTCTCCTTTTTGTTCTTGATTGTAAAAAGACTGTACTTTGACGGATAGTCACTTCGGGTTGGTTGAATGACGGCTGTTCATTTTTAATACTTTTTCTGAAATATTTTATTGGGTGCATCTAATTGACATTGATTTTGATCCAGTGATTCAATTATTTCTTGTAGCTTCTGTTCGATGCGAATATCTGCTACAGCATCATTAGGAAGGGATGATGTCTTAAGCCCAACTTTTAAGGGTGACCCATCATAGCTTTATAAGTACTACACTTAATGTCTTGACGATATGGCATATTTTTCGTGAGCTGCACAAGTGGTAATCCGTCGATCCAGTGCTGGATTTTGTTATTTCCTAACCAATAGTTACTCGAAGAGAATGCATTATTTATCAAATTTACTTCCTAGACTGGCGAGTATGCATAATCATGTGATTTAATTTTTAATATATAAAAGACATTTATCACATTTAACGAAATCGTGGTGATTATGCATAGCAACCTGCTCGAATCCGGGCGGAGACCTCCAAGATACTTTCGGGGCGGTCGTTCCGAGATATGTTAGGCCAGTCCGTCACCATCCGGTTCTTCATTGTGGGTCTGGTCTAAACAATAGTGGATATAGGAAAATGTCTTATTAGTGTCCACGTCAAAAATGAAAAGTGAACCTATAGTTATCATTCTAATACATATTTTGAATTTAATAAACCAATTAATTTATAACTTTTAATTAATAATGATGATAAATTCACATTTTCCTCCAAATCCAAACTTAAAATAATAGATCCACATTTATAGTTTTCACATAATTATAAATGCAGATTTAAATTGAACAAAATTATTTATCATCGTTTTTTTCTGCGTAGGTATTCTTAAATATGACTGTAGTGTTAATTCCTGCTGTAATTAATCTAATACTAGAAATGAATTAAAATAATTAAAAAAATAACAGTTTAATTTAAAACAGAAAGTTTGAATCTTATTAGCTTAGAATTAAAAATAATTGAGAACTTTTTACGATTCTAAACTCATTATCATTATCCGGTCACGTCTTAATCTAGAGTGAGGGCACTTTTTTTAATTGGAAGGCAACCTCCCATATATTTTAAAATCCTCAGAAGACCCGTATATACCCTTATGTAGTCTTACATACCGTTATGAACTCCTTCTGAGGATCTCATAACGGTATATAAGACTACATAAGGTTATTTCCTATATCGGTAGAATCTCACAAGAAATCTCATTGTAAATTGTACACATGTATAATTTCACTATTAATGCGCAAAACATAAAATACTGTGTTTATATGCACATATATTATGTAAATTCATTTATCTCGAAAATAAACTTTTTTACATACAACAAAATTTCATTTACATAAATGTAGTTTGATTAAAGATAAGATATTATTTTCTCAATATAAAATATTGATTTTATTTTTAATTATCACATTACTTTTTATTTTTTTAACATTTTCTCATATTGCATATAATATTTTAATTTATTCATTCTAAAAACCGTTTAAATCTAGAAATTTTTGACATTTTTCTATATATTAAACTTAAAAATTTAATAAGCTTAACAAACAGAAAATATA